TACGAGACATTAAAGTTCATTGAGAGTACTTAGGGACCATTGGGATATTGAGGTAAGGATTACATGATTTGTTCTTGAATTGGAATACGTAGATTGGCAAATTTCTTGAAGTGATTTTTATTACTTATGATTGGCTTATTAATGAGGTAATTGAATTTACGAAAAGCGTAAAAAGATTAAGGATACACGACTTACGTGATATCTAGTGTGGAATAGGTTTTACAATTCTTAAGAGCGGGATGTAGAAGAGATATCTGGAGTTTTCGAGCTAAGGTATGAATTTCGAGAACGAAATTCTTTTAAGGGGGAGAGAATGTGATGACCCAGAAAATTATTTTTCTTACCTCCCAACTATTTGCATTTTTATTTAAATTATATTTTTATAAAGTTTGCATTCATTTAGTGATTTACTTGTTAATTGATAAAAGAATTTCTCTTACTTGCTTATTTTAATTTTTGAATGATTAAATTCTTGAAAATTGTAAGGGGGGGGGGAGAGTGTGAGAACCCGTAATTTTCTCATTTTCGAGGTTTTATTCTCTTTAATGGCATGTTTTCTGCATTTTCTTTATTAGAAAAATTTTTTCGATAATTTTTATGAGTAAGTATAGTTTTTAGATGATTTTTCTAGTATCAGTTAGGTTTTCAGAAATTAAGAGCGTATACCGGACGTGGGACCCGCTAGTGCGGAAAGTTCGGAAAAATTCGGCCAACTAGGTTAAGTTTCGGATATTGGGTTTAAATTATCGGGTGTTAAGAGATACTTAGAGGTTACCCAAGTGGATTGGTGTGAGAGGAAACAAAGTGATAGAGATGCATTAATTATAGTGACAAGTGTCACCATATGGTTAGTGGTTACTTTTGACTACTATTCATACTTTTACCCTTTTACTAAAATAACTCAAAAATTGACCAAAATTCACTCCAAATTTGCAAGCTCATAGCCGGCCCTCTCCAAGAAAGAAAGAAAGAGAACTCTTCAAGTTTTTGCTTCAATCTTGCTCAAATCTACCAAATCAACCACTTAATCTTGCTTTTGTTCCATAGAAAACCTTAAGTGAGTGATTGTGAGGTGTTTAGTGGAGTTGTTTGGAAGGCTAAGGTGATTAGTTGCTCCCTCTCTTGTGTTGCTAAGGTGAGTAGTGAAGGAACCCCTCTCATCCATCTAATGATGTTTAATTCATGATTTGTGGTAGTTTAAGATGTAATTTTATGGATTATATCTTGATTTTGGTTGAATTGGTGAAGTTTTATAATTATTGGTGATTTTTCTGTTTTCATATGATTATTATTATGTGGTCATGTATGATGATTGGAAATGATATTTAAGGAAGCTAGAAGGTGGAAAAAGTGGTTAATTGCAGGAAATTTCTGTTTTGGAAGAAAGTTGGAAAGTTAGGGTTTCATTATTTCACATTCTGTCCTGCACAGTACCTCATAGTTAGAGGCCGAATTGGCCTTGGGTTAAAACATGAAAGTTGTAGGGAATGATATTTTAGAGATTCCTACAAAATTTATGGTCAATCGGAGCAACGTAGCTTGTGAAAATACTGAATTACCCCTGCTGCCCTGTTTCTACCCGAATTTGATAATTGCGTCTGTGATTGGTTATTTTGGTTGGGAATACTTCGGAATTGGTTGTGGAGGTCTTCTGACGAATTGTAAACGTGTATCTTAGCTTTCATATGGCTTTGGAATTACTTGATTTGGACTTAGGTAGCCTGACGTATGATGTTTGAACCAGAATGCGGTTTGTGAACATGTTTTTGCGGTTCTGGTGTAGTATATTACATTTTTGACCTGGTTACACTCGAAACTGGACAGAGTAGCCTTCTTAAACATTGTAGCCCTATCTCTTAGCTTCTAAACGGTGTATCTTACACCTCCATCCGATAATCGTAGTGCCAATGGTGCCAAAATCGCAAACTGATGTCAAAAACTGTTTTTTTTTTGTTAGAGCTTAATGCCATTTCCGGATTTTCCTGGTTTACTCTAGTGCTTATACATTCTAGTGGAACCTTATTTTGGTGGTATTTGGCATTGGTTATGACTTGTAATTGAGTCTTATTATGCTTATTTGAATGTTCTAGGCCGTGACGGTGGTGCAAGACGCTCTTAGGCGGAAGTGCATGAAATATCATTTGCTTGATTGGTGAGTGTACCACTCACTTGTTGTTTACAATGTGGCTTTGGTATATGTGAACTTGATGCCTTGAAGGCTTATTTGCTCCGTTGAACTTAATTGAGTGAGGGTGTACTTGATCGCCCTCACCCATTTGGTATCTCATATGACTGTCTACTGTTTTACTGTAATGATTGAATGATACATGAAATACTGAATTGGTTCATGAATTTGGTGTCGCTTGGACGAGTATCCAACGACCATTACTGATACGACTGAGCTCAACCCCATTGGTAGTCGATTGGATCGAGCCGGCGAGGGCTTGGTCGTGAAAATTGACGAGCCATGGGGACTGTTATATGGAATCTTGTAGTAGTGAGACTCTTGATTCCGGTATACTTGAGTATTACCAAATTTCTACTGTTTGGAGTTCGGGCCCGGTAGGGGTATGTTGGGTGGAAGGAATGGAAGTAAAGTGGAGCCTACGGTTGGTTACTCTTAAACATTGACGGAGGGTCAATGAGGTTCGATCAAGAATGCAAACGAGGAAAAGGGCTCTTGAGAGCCGCCCGTATCCTTTTATCACCACTATTGATGTGTGCCTTTGCTTACTTTTGATGTATTGGAATGAAAAGCTTGATGCTTATATGAACTTGGTTGCTTGAGTGGTATTATCTCACTGGGCGTAAGCTCACTCTATTCCTTTTGTTTTCCTTACAGGAAAATAAATACTTTTGGACTGGATTTGATAGTTGGTTGCCGAATTGAGCTAGATGGACATATCTTTTGTATAGCTCCTTGATTGAAACCCTAAATGTACTTTTGGGTCCGTTTCTCTTTTGATTTGGCAAACCGTACATGTATCAACTTTTGAATAACTTTTGTATGCCACTTTGGATTGTATATGCTTAATTTCAACATGTGAATATTTGCTTGATGTTTGGTTGGATTTTGACGTGTCGGTTACTATTCATGACCGACTCCGATTTCATTTTTTTTTTATTTTGAATTTTGGCTTGTCTACGCGCGTTTGTATGTTCCGGAACGTATTAGATCGCTCTAAACTGAATCGTTAGTCCTGGCGAGAGCTGGCAGGCAGTCCGCTAACCCCTTTGTTTCGCCTTAGGGGAAGGTGGGGCTGTCAGAGAGGGATTTGGCTAAAGATGGCTAAAGATGGTTTAAGGGGGGCGGGGGGAAGGATTTGGCTAAAGATGGTTTGCATTTAGTGATGGTTGGTCGATATTGCTTTAGGTGTCCAAGGGAGTTTCGAAAAGAATCCCGGCATGGAACAATAAAGGACCCGCTTGCTCATTTGCTTTTGGCTTTCGTGAGTGTCAAGTGCATGTCTTATTATACTCTACTTGGAATGCTTCTTGATGATACTTGTTGATTGTGTGAATTAAACTTGTCGAAGCGAGTGTGTACTTTATCTCACTCGTCCTCTCCTGCTTGATTTGATAATTCACTTGCTCGTACTTGACAATTATACGTGTGCTTATGCTTGATTTGGTGTCAATTTGAGAGCAATCTCATCAACTTATACTTGATCTTGGAGGCCCCAAAACCCAATGGCTAGCCATTCAACTCAAGCCAGCAAGGGCTCGGTTGAGGAGTTTGGTGAATCTTGGGCTCGTGTACTTGACTTGCTTGGATATATTCGAATAATACCACATCTTATTTGACATGCGGGCTCAGCAGGGGGTGTAACAGTGGACAGAAATTGGTGAAAAGTAGGGTTCTACGGACTTGTTATTTGCTTGGTTGACGGAGTGTTAACATTTGGAAAACGTGTTCAAAAGTATCGGTGTAGCATGAATTGTGGATTTAGCTCCTGAGAGCTCCTGTATCCTTTAGTGATTGTGCTTTTATTTTCTCTTGTAAATTTACGTAAAACATTATGGCTGCCCTTCTTGATTTGCATATTATTAATTCTAGTTGTACTTGTTTGCTTGCCTGTTTTTTTTTTTTTTGTCTCATTGAGCGTTAGCTCATCCCTTTAAGTTTGATTTCCTTAACAGGATTTTGAAATGGAGAGATTTGTTTGAAGACGCTGGCTTTGACTATATTTTGGATTAGTTATGGATGTAAATAATTTAACTGACCTTTTGGTAGTTGTATTTTACGACGCTTGATGTAAATTTGGAATTTTATGGTGTAGGTATTGAATGAGTTTTTCGAAAGAAGTGACCAGTTCTTTATATTAGTATTTTGCAGGTCGAGTAGTTCTAAGTTATAAACTTGACTTGTAGTGAGTTCTAGCAAGAGTTAGGCAGGCGGTCCGCCAAAACCCTAGAGTGCGCGCTAAGGAGAAGTGGGGTCGTCGCAATTTTAACAGCCCACCTTGCCTATTTGCATCCCAAATCACCATAAAAATGAATTTTTGAAAAATTCTGGCCTCTCCTATTTGTTCCAAAAATTCTTCCACACAAAAATTGGCTGATTGAACATCAAAAGTGCTACCTTGAAATCTAACTTCAGTTCGGCCCTTCCAGAGAAACCAGTTTATAAGTAAAGGTAGAATGGACCATATATGAGCACAAGTACCCCCTGGAATAGACAAAAACCAAGAACAAAGCATAGTTGAAATGCTTGAATGATTTTTTTTTTTTTTTAGCAATCTCCGTCTACGGGGAAGGGACGCGACCCTCAAGTTTTATTAAAATACGAGGGAAGTACTCTAGAGGGAGACATAAACCAAAACCTCCAAAAATAAACGAAGGAAATGAAAACAGGAGACAGAGTCCTAACTAAGGACACGACGTCTTCGAATAGAAGGGAGAGCTAGAGAATCAAACCGCACAACAGATCTTGCTAAACCAGACAAATCAGGATGCGAGACATAAAAACAATGAGAATTGCACCCACTTTGGATAAAGCATCAGCCACTTGATTCCCCCCCGCCATACCAATGAGTAACCCTTGCCACAAACCTCATGCATCCCTTAATCTTCTCCATCTCCGCCCATATCTTCCAAGGACATGCAGCTTTGTTTTGTAATATCTGAACCACCAAGAGTGAATCAACCTCCACGTGAAGCCTAACAAACCCACACTGTATGCACTGCTGGACACCAAAAAGCAATAACTTTGCTTTAGCTTGTACACTTGACATCTCCCTAAAAGGGACCGTAAAAGCAAACACCATGACCCCATTACCATCATGAAGAATCCCACCGCCACCACTACGTCCCGGATTTCCCAAAGAACAACCATCTGTATTTAATTTAAACTCCCCCTTCAAAGGCTTTACCCAATTAATGAGTCGAACCGAATACCTACAGTTTTACAATTTCACAGCAATATAGTAATTTGGCCAGGAACTAATCTCAGCCAGCCTATTAGGAAACTTTAGATTAAACATATCTCTTAGTTCCCGGAAAATCCAATCACAAACGCTTCGAAGTTGAGGCTCCCTCTCCTCAAAGACCTTCCTATTCCTTGCCTTCCAAATCTGCCAACAGAATAAAATTGGCAAAACTGCATGAACAAACCCATTTTCCCGACAATGAAACCACCACGCAGCTAGTCTAGATCTAACTCCCACTCCCAAATATGAAACTCCAACCGCAGAACCAAAGAAGCTCCAAAGTTGTTGTGCAAATTCGCCTTCCGAAAAAACATGGTCCAGGGTTTTAGATTGAGAGTCCAAATAACAAAAACATTTTGATGGACCCTGGACATGAAACTTAACTAGAGATGACACAACCAGAAGCCGATTCCTCAAAAGACGCACCATGAAAAAAGAAATCTTGAGAGGCAATACAGAGATCCATACTTTGGAGAACATAAATGAGGACTCAGAAGCGTACTTGATCACTTGAAAAGCTGAAGCAAGAGAGAAAGCACCTAATTGATTCAACTTCCAGATCATGTGGTCACACTGAGGCAACAAAGGCGGCTCCTTCTTCAAAATTTCATCAATTATTCGAGACGGAACCCATTGCAACAACAATTTTTTATTCCATCTGCCTTGAGACATAAAATCCTTCACTTGATGATCAGATACATTCTCTAGTCTTTGACATAACGGCCCAGAGCCCAACCAATTATCAAACCAGAAGTTACTATCACCAGATTGCACCAACCAAACAATATTCTGCTCAGCCGCCTCTCGGACTGCCATCATCCTCCTCCAAATGTGTGAATCAGTACTAGCAACTCCCACCATGCAAGGATGAGATCGAGAACAATACTTTGCTGCCATAAATGTCACCCACAAAGAATCTCCCTGACAAAACCTCCACTAAAGCTTCAACAAAAAATCAAAATAAACATCTTCAAGATCCTTAAAACCTACTCCTCCTCTCTCCACTAGCAAACACAAGTCCTTCCACCTGATCCAATGCTTAAATGATTAATCTCCAAAATCCCAAATATACGTTCATATCTCCCCCAAACCTCCTGTGCAACCAGGCCGTGCAAAAAAAATGATTAAAACTTTCCCGTGAATGACCACAACACAAGCATTTTGAAGGTAATTGAATACCCCGCCAATACAAAGTTGTATCCAAAGGCAAGAAACCACGTACTAGTCACTGCATAAAGAATGATATCTGCACCGAAACAATTGAACTCCATATACAGCTATCAACCAAAGATTTATTTCTCCGCTGTCTTAAACCTTCCCAAGCAAAGAAATAGGAAATTCACTCGAAGAAGACAATGACCAAACCATCACATCATGCTGGTCCGAGAAAAGCTTAATCAGCAAAATACTGTTCACCCACCTTTCTGGAAGAATTTGATGCAACAAATGCTGATTCCAAACTCCGTTATAACTAAATTGTAACACCTGCAACGTAGGCTGGTTAATAACCCCTAATTCTATGAATAAAAGCCTATCCGAGCACTATCGTTCTCTCCAAAAGTTTATTTCTCCTTTCCCCAAGCACCACCTAATGTGATTTTCTACCAAGTCCAAATACCCTCCACCCGTCGCCACATAGCTGTTGGTCGCAAAAAAGAAACCTTTGCAGGGTAAGCATCCTGAATACACTTACAAAACAAAAAAGAAGAGCAAACAGCTTCCCTTCTATGCAATTTCCACCATAACTTGCATGGGAAAGCCTATACCATATCATCAAATGATCGAAATTTAGAAAGATACCAACTAATTCATTGACTTTCCCGTACATTCTACACTTTGATACTAACTTTTTTCCAGCATGACAACTAACAAATTAGATTGATTTTAGCTATACTATGTTCATCTATATTGGCTTTCACCACATGGAATATATAAAATTTTTAATTAATAATGTTGGACAAGTTGGAATATCAGTATTCATAATGATATATATTCAGTTTATTGCAGCATAGTTACAATAGACTAGTTATAGTAATATTGTTCTCTAATATCTTAAAAAAATATAACTGTAATTTTACATTTTGATAGCATTTAATTCATGCTTTGATACTGAACATTTCATGTCAAACTCTACTATATGATTTTTATTATTAATATTTAAAAGATCATGATTAACTTAGGATAACTTAATTCAGCTTAGAAATTAATTTAACAATTATTTTCCTTATTTGTTGTCTCTACAACTCAACAAAATAAGTTGATTGAGCAACAAATTGAACCTCTTCCTCCTTCACACACTAAAATGTACATAATTATGTAAAAAAAGGAAGCCTGCTAAGAAAAAAAATGAAAGCATATATGATAAAAGAGACTTTTTTCTAAAGGAAATATTAGAAAAAAAAATGTTCCTAAACTACGATCACAAAGCTCTATAGGATAATTATCGAAGTTTACAATGAGAACAAGAACAAACATAAAAATTCAATAAAGATAAAGAACAAAGTGTATATCGAAGAGGTCCTTTGGATGGACAAAATTAACAAGTATCATTTGCTAAATAATATTTTGAGATATATAAAAAAGTGAAAATAAAATTTTTTTTGAATGAGCAAGAAGATGCTCCAAATATCAATTATCACAAAAATAATATAATTAAAGCTAATTGAATACAAACATAATGATATTAATAAAACAGCAAATTAATGATCCATACCACATAAATATCGGCAGGATTTTTATAGGATTTTTTATTGTTGTCCATTTTCCTTTTTGTTGTAATCTTTCTTTAATTTGTCTTTCTTGGCCAGCATGACAACCATCATTGAACTTTATTTTTAGAGGACTTTGTTAATCTAAAAATAATAATAACTATAACTCGTGTAATTATTTAATTTTTAATGACTTGATTATCTAAATATCTTATTTAATTAGCTTTTGTTCATATTATACTTTCTTGAAGGTAGGTTTATTTATCAAAAATATCCAAGTTTCTATGTCCAATTTGGTCAACATTCAATACTCTAGTTATTGAGTATTATCCACTAAGTTTTAAGATAAATATTAATTTAAAACATTTTATAGTTCATCAACTGTCCAATCTAGAGATGCTATTTTATTAATTTATAAATTCGAAAGCTAAGTATTTGACACCTTATCAACCATATAATTATAGAATGAAAATTGCACGATTCCCACAAATTTTCAGTTTCTTAATTCTAGATACATATATTACAATCTAAAGTATGAAATTAACTGAGGATTTTGAAAAATTAAAATTAAAATAAATAATCAACGTAAATAAAACAATCAAATGGAAGAGAATTAAAATTAAGTCAATAACACGTAAGCTCTAGCCAAGGAGAAAACTGTGAAAGTGGTTCATACAACTGCTCATTGATACAATAATTATTTCATCTAGTCATTAACAAACAGGTAATAATTGGCAAACAAGCAATGATAATCAACTTTTCCCTACATTGTCGATAGTTAAGGTATGTCCGTTAACTATTTCCCTACACAATACATAACCCTAGGTACACCCGGAGAATATAATTTCTTGATTGCAACTAGAAAGCCCCTGTTCTAATCGATAAACACACTACCAGGGTTTATTTAAATTAAATCATATGTTTCCCTAATATAAAACTAATCACACTAGTTACCACTAATTTAAAATAATTAAACAATTACGGATTTAACTGTCTTAACTGGCAACAGGTTACTAGGTTGAATTAAATATTAAACCCTTGATATTCAAACAACAAAACAACTATGAGAAATTAAATTAGAGAACGTACGAATATTAATGAATAAAAGAAACAAATAAAAACTATTAGATGTCATAGTTGTAGTTGAATTAGATCCTTCATTATCCCTTGACTAGAAAAAGAAATTAGCTACTCATCATTGAGAATCATTCAAGCAATTTCATTGATAAAAGTTGCTTAAATATTCGATGATAAGAAAACAAAAGAAACGAAGACAAGCTCGTTGTTTCTTGTGTCCCTCGTGACTAATCATTCTTGTCCCCACAAAAAACAAAAGACGGATTCTTAAAAGCCAACCAACAAAAGACTTCCTTGTTCTCATTTTTTTTTTTTTTTACTTTCCTAATTCTCCTAAAAAAATAAAGAAGTTCCCAAAGATGACAAAGGATAGAGTAAGTTGTTTCCTAATGCAAATTGGAAAGGTGGAAGACCAATCATCTTGGATAAGGAAACAAGCTTCTAAGGACTTCGACTCGAATTGGGAAACTATCACGCTCACGAATCCTGATCTCTTCGGACTTGGGGGCTGGACTTACGAATCCTGATCTCGGGCTGGACTTAGATGTGGGCATAGGCTGAGAATCTTCATTAAATTACTTTTACTCTTTTCTTGCCATATTCCTACAATAAATACCAATTACCAAATATGAGTAGAATCCTATCAATAATATAATATTTGGCCAAAATCAAGGGAAAATATTCATAAATTTAATAGCAGTTACGCACCCTGTCCTCAAGCATGAGAACAAAAAATTAAGCAATCGTATTCAAACAATGGCTATTGCCTAAATTACCCTTCACCAAGATACAATTAAATTGCTTGTCGAGTATTAATGGCTAATCTCCAAGAGATATCTCTCTAGTTAACTTTTAAAACCAACGACCCTTCCAATTCTTGACTAACCAATTTAAGAATATAAAATATTCAACCAGCATTTGTCGGCAAATAATTTGACTATTAAGCAAAATCTCAACATCAAAACTCAGGGATCAACAGGCTAACAGGACTATTCACACCCTTTCACATTCACATACACTTTTTCATTTTTCGCTATTAGCACAACCTTTTTTTCTGTCCTAAAATGTTCCCCACACATGAGTTTTCTTTCAATTTTTTAGGGGGAATGCTTAATCCTTAGCCATTCAAGCCTTTTGATCCAAATCCTAACATCTACCAAATGAACGAATCCGGTTACTCAACTTTCACTGCTCAAAGATCATATACTCATAGCTATCGCTACTTTTTGACATGAAAGTTATGACGGCCCCACCACCCCCTAAGGCGAACCAAAGGGTTTAGCGGACCGCCTGCCCAACTCTCGCCGGGACTCACTCACTTACTATATTCCTCAAGTAAATTACAAGGTACAACTCAAATAATACATCCAATTCTCCAAAAATTACATATCATAAGCGAAGCGGAAACTAGTTCTAAGCGTAGAATGTAGATATACATCCGATTCAATTCCAAATATTTATACAGGCCCAAAAGTACATAAACCAAAACCAAATCTAAACTATACAAGATGTATGCCATCCAGCCACACAAAGATCCAAATACAAGTTCTTCCTTTACTTCGATCCCTGTGGGGAGAAGAAGATAATAGGGGGTGAGCTAGAAGCTCAATGAGTGACTAGTAAAATCAACAGCCAAGTATATTTCACAATAAAGCATTGATATGATGTCATGATGCAGTAATCAAATATTCATTTATTGCTCATGTGAGCCAGTGAAGTTCTTGTACTTAAATATCCAACGCTCGTTTAGATCAGGTAACCGTGAAACAGAAGTAAGGAGCCATCGTGCTCCAAAGAATGTGTAAACAGTAGTGGAGACATTGGTTCTAAGCACAAGACTTTTCAGGAACTCATTGGAGCCAAATTATGTCATGGCACACACCCAAACCCAAATGATATGCAATGGAGTAATAAATGCAAGAATTAGTTCAAAAGTAACTTTGAAAATAGTTGAGAGATCACTCACCAACAACAACTCACGAACCTCATCCATCATTTATTATTGTCTTGCTCAAGTCCAAGCCCTAGATCACAAATGAAAATAAGGACTAAAACGATCAAAGCGGAAAAACAGTAAAGGAATGCATCGGGCGTGCGCGGAAATGAAAATGG